TACTAAATTCAAAATCTCTGGAAGATCAGCACAAGATTAGCATTTTGTTTGTTTATTTTTTTGAGATGGAGTCTTGCCCTGTTGCCCAGGCTGGAGTGCAGTGGCACAGTCTCGGCTTACTGCAACCTCCGCCTCCCAGGTTCAAGCAATTCTCCTGCCTCAGCCTCCCTTATAGCTGGGATTACAGGCATACGCCTCCACGCCCAGCTAAGTTTTTGTATTTTTAGTAGAGTCGGTGTTTCACCACGTTGGCAAGGCTGGTCTCAAACTCCTGACCTCAAGTGATCTGCCTGCCTCGGCCTCCCAAAGTGCTGGGATTATAAGCATGAGCCACCATGCAGGAATTAGCATTTTAAAGAAGTACCACCCACCCCCTCATTCATTGTGAGCAATGAAATTGGGCATTCTTTGCCCTGGAGGATCAGGTAGCTAAAAGAGAAGGTAACCCGTGAGGCTGTGGCAGTGAATGTGCAGGAGATGTTGGTAAGTCTGCTTATATACAGATTCTGTTTAAGACCCCTAGGTGTTCTTCCTAAAAATAATATTACCTTTATGTTTTAATAATGTCACTAATGTTTTAATGAAGGAAAAGGGGCCTATTCTAACCTCATTAACAAGCTCTGAGAAATTTCTCTGAGTCATTATATAGTTAGTAGAAAAGGGTTATGTGTTATAATCTTTTATTTCTACTCTTTTATCTCCTGGGTCCAAACACTTTGTTTCTCCCTTGAAGAAGCATAATTAACATAAGTAATTCCAGTGTTAGTAACAGAATTAATTGGAGTAGCCCTAAGTTGTAATTTAAAATAATAGTAATAAATGAAATCACTTTGGATAAGTATCATGTTCAGGCATGGTGGCTCACATCTGTAATCCCAGTGCTTTGGGAGGCCAAGGTGGGAAGACCACTTGAGACTGTATGCACGCGTGCACACACACACACTCACACACACTTCACTTTTCTATTTAGAGAAAATGTGTAGCCAACTAGACTTGTAAGAGAATGAAGAAGTTGTGAGACATGAAGGAACAAGCTTAATATAAACCCTACCAAACAAAATTAGATTTAGAAGGTATTTGGGCATATATGTATTGACATCTCCAATGTTTCTTTCTTTGTAATTATATTTCCACTAGGACGTGACCTAAGAATCTAGAATATATACTCCGTAATATAGACTGTATTGTAACAGAAAAACAGACACTTTAATCCTCGTAGGAGAGGAAATAGGAATGAGGATGGGAAAGAAGGCAAGGAAGATAATGGTCAAAGAGCAAAGACAAAAGCACGAGAGTATGCCGCATGGAAGCTGGCAGGTTTCTAGGCTGAGTGGAAGGTCCCTCTAGAGGAAAAGGTTAAATATTAAGATAAGAGAAAGTGACTGGTGGAGAGGAAGGGGCTGCAGGCACTACTGTAAGGGGGAGTAGAAAAAAAGGCAAGAAGTAGGCACAGATACAGAGGAGATAGTAGTAGGAAGATGGAGAAATCAAAGGAGATAAGGCCTAATGTCCTCTATAGATGCCACAGAATGCACACGTTTAGGGACACAGAGGTCATACAGAGTTCCAATGAGGGTGGAAATTAGGTAGGGGATGTGAGGACAGAGACAGATTTGGAATAGTTAAGAGAAACGAGAAAGGGAAGTGGCCAAGTGTATCTTGGTTTTAAAGACCAGTGGCATTCGATGATTTGTCGGAACCTTTACTCGGTTAAAGGAAGAAATAAATTTATAATTACTTCTGTATTACACATGTGGGGGATTCAGAATTGTTTCTTTGATATACCTATTTATATTCAGTTATTGTTCTTTTTTCTTTGAGACAGGGTCTTGCTCTGTCATCTAGGCTAGAGTGCAGTGGTGCAATCATGGCTCACTGCAGCCTCAAACTCCTGGGCTCAAGGGACACCCCCATCTCAGCCTCCTGAGTAACTAGGACTACAGGTGCATGCCACCATGCCCAGCTAATTAAAAAAAAATTTTTTTAATGTTAGAGACAGGGTCTTGCTATATTGCCCAGGCTGGTCTCAAACTCCTGGCCTCAAGCAGTCCTCCTATCTTGTCCTACTGAACTGTTGGGATGACAGACATGACCCACTGCACCTGGGCCAGCTATTGTTCTTACTTTGGGATGGGGACGTTTTGAAAAAAACCAAATCACCTCATACAGGTACTAAATGAGGATAAAAAAAATAGTTCATTGAATATAGGAAAAAAATATGTTGGTGTATACAAAAAATCCATGAACAATAGATCTGAGCAGAGAAAATGCTACCACTCTAAAAAGATTCTCAGGCTAGACCAAAATTGACTGCAACCTAAACAAAGGTGTGAACAAAAAATTTAAAGGATTACTTAAAATAGATCTTCTTGGAACAAAGAAAAGGAATGAGTCATTCTAGGCATTTCTTAGTATGATGTGCCAAGGCTGGCCATGGCTCTGCTAGCCACAGTAGGAGCAGTAGCAGTTTTAGAGATTGTAGTAGGCATTTCACAGTAATGTGAACTCTGTGTCCCTAAACTTGTTTATTTCTCAGGATTCATATTTGCAATTAAGGGTTGCTGCCACTCAATGGCAGAAGTGTTTGTATCTGTCAAGGATAATGAATTATCAGGAATATGATCTCATCAAAGAAAAATTTCCACTTAGAATAATCAGAATAGTACTTGACAAGCACCATGGTTGGCAGGGAATAACGCAGCAGCTTTTCTTCCTTATGAAGGCCAAAGGATGGTCACTGGCCGTGGCATTTGGACTTGTTTTCTGCAATCAAAACAGCCCCATCCAGCTTCTGCTCAGGGTCAGCTCATTCTGCTTCTGACCCATTTTTTTGTCATATATGGAACGTTTGTGTTCTGTGTGAACCTGAATATTCATGGTACAATTTAGCCACTTGGCTTCAAAGGGCTAACTTTTATTTCTTTAAATATCACAGATTTCACCAGGCCAAGCGTGGTGTCTCATGCCTGTAATCCCAGCAGTTTCGGAGGTTAAGGCAGGCAGATCACCTGAGGTCAGGAGTCCGAGACTGGCCTGGCCAACATGGTGAAACCCCATCTCTATTTTCTATTTTGTATTTTGAAAAATACAAAAATTAGCCAGGCGTAGTGGCTCACACCTGTAATCTCAGCACTTTTGGAGGCCGAGGCAGGTGGATCACAAGGTCAGGAATTCGAGACCAGCCTGGCCAACATGGTGAAATCTTGTCTTTACTGAAAACATAAAAAATGAAAAAATTAGCTGGACATGATGGCAGGCGCCTGTAATCCCAGCTACTCTGGAGGCTGAGGCAGGAGAATTGCTTGAACCTGGGAGGTAGAAGTTGCAGTGAGCTGAGATAGCACCACTGCACTCCAGCGTGGGTGACAGAATGAGACTCCATCTCAAAAAAAAAAGTCACCAAACAGAAATTGAACTTTTTGTTTGCTTGTTTTTTTGTTTTTGGAGACAGAGTCTTGCTCTGTCGCCTAGGCTAGAGTGCAGTGGCGTGACCTCTGCCCCGAGGAGCCATGTGATATCTTTCAAATCCAGTGATTTTTAAGTGATTGCCTGAGTACCATCTAAATATCAGCATCTTGGTTACATTTCTGAGATGAAATGGAGTTGTTTGCTCACATTGTTTGTCCAGGAGAGGATATGATGCCATGAATGGGTTATGTCTTTCCATTCTTACAAAGAACCGTGGCTGCTGCTTGGCCTTTCACAATAAAGAACCTTTGACTTATAAAGTGCTCAATGCAAATGCATGAAAGGACCATCCCTCCCAAAGTTCTTTGGCTTTTCAACATGATGAAACTAATAGGGCAACCACAGAAAAGACAGAAATCCCTCTGACCCCTTGATTTGACCCATTTTCTGTTTCTTTCAGGCTTAAAAGAAGACAGGTTTTTCTCCTCAGGACTATTCCTTTGGGTTTGGGACTTTCTCCCTCTTTCCTTTTTTAGTGTAGCTCTTACTTCACCCCGTCTGCTTTATTCCAACTCTCAGTTAAAGTAAAGCGCAACCTTGATCCTTCCTCCTTGGAAAGGGATTTGGGGAAATGAATGAGGTACATCTGGCATTAAGAGCCAGGATCACTATATACTTTTTAATGTGCCTATAAAACTCCATTGGTCTCCTTTTCATGTTTTCTAGTTTCATTTCCTATTCTAGGCCACTAAGACAGAGCTTCAAACTAGTGTAATGTGAACAAATTACAGAACATGAATCCCCAGTCTTCAGGGTGCTGGGGGAAGAGCCTGAGGAAGCCAGAGCATCCCTGCCTGTCATATTAAATTGTAAGCATGGCTTCTGTTGAATCTAGTGTGCCATACAAATATTACCATTTTTTTGTGCCATGAGGTCAGAAAGCTTGGAAAATGCTGCTTTCAGGCCTGTTTGGGGGATCACTGTTCTTTCTATTCTTCTTCCACACGAAAGCCTATAGAGAGACTTTTTTTTTTCTTATCTTGTCTCAAGGTCTATGCGTTTGGTCTTTTGCAAAGGACTGTCCTGGCAGATGTGGTGAAATTGGTTTGTGTTCCCTAAACACTGTTCCTGGCAAAGCTGTGCTGTATCTTGACTCACTTTCATAGCTTAACATTCCTTTTGTTCATCCCATCTTGAATTCCGTTATATTCTCCTAGGTCGGCTCTTCCTTTCCTTTTTATAGAAGGGTTTTACAAATGGGAGCACACCCAACCCCTTTGTTATAAATCAGCTCATAGCTAAAGTTGTAGCAGTTGTACCCTTTGTTCTTTGCAGTTTTGTCTTTTGGCAACATTGACCACCTTGGCCAAGCCCAGAGATGCCATCTTCTTTCCACCCAGCCCCCTTTCTCCCACATAAATGCGAGCATAGAAACTCGGGTAATACTCTGCTGGGAGGTAGTCATTAAGGATAAAATGCATCGTATTTTCTCATTTATCTTTTTTCCATTTATTTTAGAATGTATGTTAATCTTCCTGCTAAGCAGAGACAGGTTATAATTAAGCTGAAAAGTGTTTCTTTGGTTTTTCCAGATGAGAATTCTCCAGCCAACTTCTGGGATTCTAAAAACAGGGGTGTGACTGGAACCCAAAAAGGGCAAATTGTATGGAGAATTGAGCCTGGGCCCTATTTCATGGAACGTAAGTAGCTGAGTGTGAAATACAAACTTATTATTGAACATTGCATAAGTATGCAGAATTCTACGGAGTCTTTTTGAATGTTATTTTGAAATTCTTTGGTTTGAATTTACGTATTTATGCCATGATGGAAAATATATTGTTTTAGAAAATGCTCAGTAAAGAATGTTCACATATTTTGAAAAAACTGTGTATGTTTCAATATACAGTTAGCCATCCATACCCGTGGATTTCACGTCTACAGATTCAACCAACTGTGGATCAAAAATATTCAGGAAAAGAAAAGTCACTATACTGAACAAGTACAGACGTTTTTTCTTATCATTCCCTAAACATTATAGGGTAACAATTATTTGCATAACTTTTATATTGTATATTGTATTAGGTGTTTTAAGTTATCTAGAGATAATTTAAAGTATTTGAGAGGATGTACACAGGTTATGTGCATATACTCTGACACTTTATATAAGGAACTTGAGCATCTGTGGATTTTGGTATCCCATGGGGGTCTTGGGATGAATCCCCCACAGATATCAAGGGACAACTATGTAATATGTGCATGTGTGTATATGTATACACACACACAAACATACACATTTGCATATATGCAAATAAATATTACAGGTGCATACATATACATGTGTATATATACATAAATATGAATGTATATTTTACATGTACATTATGAATGTATGGTATATAAATTATATATGATTACTTTAGTACTTTACACATTTTGTATACCCTTTATATCTATAATTAATATTTATTCATATTAATTTCAGAAAGAATAATTCAAGATTTCAATTAATAACATGACTTGCCTTTGAAATACCTCATTATAATTTTTGCCAGCAGCAGAATAACTTCATGTTTGGACCCCAGTCTTTTCAAAGTGTTGATGAAGTAGACTGGGGCTCACTGCCATTGAGGTCAGCTTACTAGAAAATCAGACATTGACTGCAGATAACTCAACTATTACCTAATTAATTCAGTGTTATAGTCATTTGCAAATTCAAATGCTCATATATAGTACCTGGTTCACAAAAATATCTTGTCCCTTTTTATGCTGGGTGATGGTGTTATTTATGGTTGTCACCAGTATTACTGAAAAAGTAGTAAATACTCAATACATTTTTTGTGGAATATATAGAAGAATAAAGGAATAAATGATTTACCAGTTGGTCCAGGTTAACTTCTACATTTCTAGAAATTATTTTTCTTTCCTTCTGTTTTTTTTTTTTTTTTTTTTTTTGAGACAGAGTTTTGCTCTTGTTGCCCAGGCTGGAGTGCAATGGCGCAATCTCAGCTCATCGCAACCTCTGCCTCCCGGGTTTAAGCAATGCTCCTCCCTCAGCCTCTAGAGTAGCTGGGATTACAGGCATGCACCACCATGCCCAGCTAATTTTGTATTTTTAGTAGAGACAGGGTTTCTCCATGTTGGTAAGGCTGGTCTCGAACTCCCGACCTCAGGTGATCCGCCCATCTCAGCCTCCCAAAGTGCTGGGATTACACGCGTGAGCCACTGTGCCTAGCCATTTTTCTTTAATGTAAAAAAAAAAATGGGCTCTTTAAACTTTTTCTGAGTTGTTGAGCTCTGAGTGAGCCTTAAGATTAGTATATGCAGAAGATTTAATATAAAAGAGAATGTGTGGGTACTAGTACTTAAAGATAGCACTTACTAAACGTGAACATTAAAGATTTGATTAAATGGAAACCTGCCGCAAGCATATCTTTATTGAAGCGTATCAAACTTCTCTAATACACAGTTATCTTAAAAGATTAATGTCTATTACTTTGAATTGCCATTAAAGGCGTGAAATAATTTCTTTCACCATCCTTACTAGTAAATCAGCACTCTAGAACTTTCTCTAATCCTGCTTCTGTCCCATAAGGAATGTCTTATTTTCATATTCCAATTTTCTGACTGGATTCTCTCTTAAACTTTAAAAGAAATGTCGTTTTTAAGGGAAAGTGCTCACAAAAAGCAGAGAGGAAGGAAGGCCGGAGAGGGGAAGTAGGTACATTTAGCAGAATCCTAGCTAATAGCACAGCATATGGGACACAGTTTGGAAGAAAACTTGCCAACATGTGAATGAGGATGGTTTCTGGCAGGTGGAATTATGGGTGATTTGTTTTTCTGACCTACGTCTATGTAACTTTCCAACATTGCCCCAGCTAGCACGACTGTAATGAAGAAATAAGTGATAAAAGAATGTGGGAAAATGGAATGGGAAATAGCTGGTTTTACTTTCAATGTGATTCCTCCTTTGAAAGGATCCTGGTGTTTAAAAGGCTGATCTAGCTGAGAAATATTGCCAACTGAACTTCAGGGGAAAAGGTAAAATCACTTCCTTTGGATTTTAGCAAAATCACTCCAAAATGCTGAAGGCTGCTGGTAATTATTGCCTGTTGCAGTGTGCAGATTGATATTACAAGGCTCATGTGAACCCCTGGGAAGAAGTCAGTACCACATGCTGCTGTAATTTGGAATATTATGTGAGAAAAAGCCCATTTACAGAGTATCCCCTTTGCTGTGATTGATTTTCTTCCTCCCTCCCAAAGTGTTAGAGATTCATCATGTGCTGGATGATTAGGCGATAGTTAAATAGCTCTGTCTTGACTGATTTCTCTACATCTCACCCTAGTATTTAATAGAAATGGGCTTGACATTGAAGCTAGAAGTTGGGAATGAAGAAAAGAGAAGTTTTGGTTTTTTTTTTTTCTTTTCTCCATATTTTAGCATTTCCACCTTAATTCTTCTCACATAAAATTGGGAGTATTGTGGAGCATAATTATAAAACTGGAAATATTCAGTAGTGCATTTTTTAAAGACTGAGAAATGTAGTGTAAGTTAAAGTTCAGGACAATGAATAGGAATTTTAGAAAGATTCTCCTTTGAATAAGTCTTTCTTCATTAATCAGAATGAAGCACTCTCCCAAAACACTCATCCCTACTCTTGCAATATAAAAGAAGTTGTAATTATATTTATAGTGCCTAGAAATAGTTTGTGTCTTTGGGATGTCAATTTTTTTTTTTTTTTTTTTTTTTGAGACGGAGTCTTGCTGTGTCTCCCAGGCTGGAGTGCAGTGGCACCATCTTGGCTCACTGCAACCTCCACCTCCTGGGTTCAAGCGATTCTCCTGCCTCAGCCTCCCAGGTAGCTGGGATTACAGGCATGCATCACCATGCCCGGCTAATTTTTGTATTTTTAGTATAGACGGGGTTTCACCATGTTGGCCAGGCTGGTTTCAAACTCCTGACCTCCAGTGATTCACCCACCTCGGCCTCCCAAAGTGCTGAGATTACAGACGTGAGCCACGGTGCCTGGCTGGATGTCATTTTTAAAACTCATTGTCTGACTAGAGCATTCTTAAAGGTACTCACAAAGGAATGTTGGTTGAATCTCTGGAGCTGATGGCATGGAACTTTTTTTAAAAATTGAGAAGAGATTAGACAGCTTCTAAAATATTTTTCACCTCCAATCCTGAAAATGCAAAGTATTTAAAAATGTTTGTTTTCATCTGCAGAAAGGAAATTTGTTTATCTTTAACTCACCAGAGATCCAAACAAAGGTTTAAAAATCTCTAAAAATTGATCTATTAAAGTTCCAGGGAAAACCTGGATTTGAGCACTATGTAGGCTATTTGTGAATTTAAGATGGCTTTAGTTTGTCTGGATAAATCCCCAGAGGAGGCAGGCAGTCCAAACTTATTTCATTATAGGGCTTACTTGAATGGATTTGAAGGACAAAACCAAGTGTAAATGTGGGTAGATGACCCTCAGGGCATTCAAGAGGAGGGTCAGCTTCATCTGCACTTACTTGTCATAAGACAGTCAAATATTCAAGAGAGCTCAGGCTCACAGAACCTGAATGGGTCATCTGTGCAGTATGCATTTGTGAGTTTTAAAATTTAAGAGGTTTCAAAAGTTGTATTGGCATGCCAGAATGTCTGTTTCATTCTATACAGTCTTTTATGGGTTATGGTCATTCATTTATTCATATTTGCTTTTTGTTCTTCCTTCCTTCCTTCTATCCATCCATCCATCTATCTCCCCTTCTATCCTGAAGTATTCATTGAGCACTACCTTTGTGCTAGGTCTTATTCTAGGCACTCACTAAATCTTGTATCAGTGAGAGAGCTTAGAGTACTAAACTTCATCCTACATTGCTATGTACTGAATTGTTACGTGATCATTGAGGAATATGACAAAACACTGATATTTGTATAAATTACATAGCGATTTCACATACTTACCCATCCCAACCCTGGAAAATGTGTACAGGATTAGGAAACAGTATGCAAGTGACAACTGTGAGTGAGTCTTTTCTCTGAGTGGCGCTTAGTTTGGTACCTTGCCAAAATAGATGTGTCAAGGGTGCCTTTTTATTTGGTGGAGATGGGGTGACCTCAGTCTCTTGTTTTTACTATCAGAGCCCTTTCTGTAACTTGCACCATTCCTAAGTCCCCTCCCACCAACATCAGAAAGGTCTTTTTGCCCCTTGGATGGAGATTTAATGCTTTTCATCCCCCATCCTCATACTTTATATTTTAGGCCCAGTTAGTTCTCTAGTCCTGTTAGGTTTCTGCCACATCTGCATGGATAGTGTCCCTTTTGTTTTTCTCAGTTTTAGCAGAGGAAAGCCTGGCCATTTCAGGCTCCATTGGCCCTTGTTAAAGAGAAGACAACTTGCAATGACATATAACTGACAAGTGAGCATGTCACTGGTATGTGGGTAAATTTCCTCAAAAGCATGAGAAGTAAAGCTGTGAATAAGAATCATAATATTAATAGTTTAATGAAAACACATAGGGCAACGATGAAAGTCATGTTCTAGAATAAATTATGATTAGCTTGATTTTTTAGGTTATTCTACCATTTAAGTAAAATAGAAATGATTAAAGGAAGAAGGACATTTATATTCCATCCATCTTTATGCTTCAAAATATTCAACTTCTAGAAACTTGGGGAAAATCCAGACTCTCTAAATAGGAACAGGCTGTTAACTACTGCCTAAGTGAATCGTGTAGCTATTTAAGATAATGGATGAGATCCTAGTCTGAGGCAAAACCATTTCTTGCAGGGAGTGGCTTGTGGAACCTTTTTTCAGAGAGGGCTTGAAATATAATCTTACATAAATACCTAGGGTTAATACAGCTGAGTTGAGATTGCTATTCTAAAAACTACTTTTGAATAGGTAATATGCAAAACAGTATAATGTTTAAAAAGTATAAAAATTGAAATTAAATGTCTCCCCAGCTTCATGTCCAGTTGCCAGTTTTCCCACCCTGAAGGCAACCACTACAACCAGTGTCAAGTTATCTATCTGGAAATATTTTATTCATATACAAACCAGAAATGTATTCTTGTTTTAAACAGGTGGTAGAATGATTGATTTAAAATGCCGTGTCAGAATTACACAGTTACGGAGACCCCTTTAGTTGAGAACAGGTTTAAGTTCCTAAACACTGTTCAAAGCCCCTCTGCCTCCCCACCTTGCCCTGGAATATGCCCAGAGTGACATTTCACAAATGATCACCCTCCAACCCATGGTAGAGGGGAGCAGGCATGCTGCTACCCTGAGGGACGTCTTCGCTTGTATTTATGAAAATTAGTAAGTCAAAAACTTGGAAATAGAGGACCTTTTCTGTTTTAAGAACATTCAAATACAGAGTACTAAACGGTAGTTTGTAACACTGTAAGTAAACATATCCTGAAGATTATCGAAAGGGGCCCTTATATTGTCATGATCTATGACTGGCTTCAGCTGTTCGGAAGGGACCTCAGAGAGGAGATGCCGCTCATCCTCTGCTGTCTTCCTCCTGAGGCTGGACCTGGCTCAGCTGACAGCAGGTCCTTACAGGTTCATACAGGATGCCTTTCCCTTTTCCTGGCTCACTGCCCTCCGAGGCAACGTGCTTTTGATTAGTGGATTCAAAATACTCTTCTTTTTATAGCCCAAAGGAGTGGATATATATATATATATATGTGTGTGTGGGGGGGGGGATATATATTAAATATATATTTGGATATATAAGTATATGCAAATATTAAAATATATTTCTATACAAATATGTGTATATACAAATATATATTTTATATATTTTTTTTTCATAATTTGAGGCCAGCAGGGGAAGATGTTGCCTGCCACAGCAGGCTGTGGGGAAAGCAGCTAGGATAGATGGACTCATACATTGCTCTTTGGTCCATGTCCTCCATCTCTCCTGCTTATAAACAGGGCTGGGCTCTGTTGATCACTGGGGTCCTCCCTAATCGGATGCTCCATCATCATGCCTGTGCTTACTTCCACCTGCTTTTGTATATATTTCTCAGAAATAGCTTTTTACAAAAAAAAAAAAAAAATGCTCCTCTTGCAGTTAGAAGTTACACATTGTAGCTGCAACAGAAGCCCATGACCCTGGGCACCAACTTCCCTTTTCCATCCTTCTGAGTATTCTTCCGTTACCTCTTCCAATAACCAAAATATTCAAATACATTAATCAAAATGCTGCTCTCCCCTTTTGTCAGAGGGGATGTTGCTTAGTTACACCATTTTTTAAAATCTTGTGTGACATTCCGAAACATTAAATAACATTTGAAGATGAAAACTCCCAGTCAGAATGGAACATTCCGATATTTTGAGGGGCAGCAATCTTCACTGATGTCCTGCTGAAGGATCCGGCTAGTTTCCATCCCCATGCAAACCACTCCTCATTCTGTCCAGGACTGTTTTCCTCTCTAGTGACCAGCCTGTGTGTGTGGTTTTGTAATGGGTGATCTGTGGAAATCCCCTCAGCTGTTTGCTTCTGCGACACACAGCTCTGTAGCATTTTGGGGGAGTGGATCTGCCCACAAAATCTGCTTTTGTGCAATTTAAGATACATTGATCTTAGTTTCAGGGATTCTACTTTGTCATCTGGGTTGGAGATTTTTGTTATAGCAAGGAATAAAATAACACCCAAAATGGGTCAGCTAGCAAAGTTGGCATGATTATCATCATTCTCCAAAAAAAAAAAAATAAGCCGTCACATTTTTTTTTATCTCATTGTCTGTTACCTAGTTGACTATTAAAACCTTAGGAAAAGCAGATGGCATCCTAACTTGAGACAGAGTTAGCGGAAGATGTCTTATAAAAATGCACTTCTCTCTGTGGAAAAAATGACCTGCTCAGTTGCTAACCGTTGATTTGATCTATGAAGTGCTGCCTGTAGACAGAGCCACCGACGTTGCTTCCCCAGCATGAAGAGTGCAATGCCAATGAGCTCATGTCCAAAGAATTCAATCCCCATGCGCGTTACCACACTTTATTCTGCTCTGACAGTCCTTGTATACACTGCTTAGCTTTGTTCTTGCAGACTACATGCTATTGGTCTTGGAAAAAAGCAAGTGGGAGAGTAAAGTTTGCTCATATCTGTCCAGCTATTACTATTTCAGAAATAACCAATAATCTGTGTTAGTGTCCAGGAAAGTCATTTGCAGAAGAGTTCTCAGGGAGGCAAAGTAATAGTAAAGCTAGAATTTCTGCGTAGGTCATCTCGCCATTCCTTAAACCCAGCATGCTTCATCTGTGTCTCCCTGCTTTTCCCATTCTTTACTCTAACTCTCTCTAGCCCCATTTTGCTCATCCATTAGACCTGTTTTTTTCATGACACCTTTCTGACTCCACCATGTCTGCTCTAATCTCCACGGTCTCTATGCTCTTCGACCTGGTGCTCTTCCTTTTTACTGTGTGTCTTCTGTATTTTGCCATGCCCGTGATTGGCATCTGAGCAGCCTTTCCTTGACTCCCTTGCACTATCTGGCACATTGCTGCCTGGCCATGTGCTGTGGCAGGTACGTAGTAAAAATCTTCTGACTGATGATGCTTATTAAATTATGAATTATTGAATAGTGATTAACATAAATAATAGAAGGACTCAATATTTTTACTCCATAACAACTTTTTTTTGAGATTTAGTATTTGGTCATTGGTAGGAAGAGTGTAATGATATAAATTCCTGTAAGAGGATTTTTCTTCCATTATTATATATTTCTCTTAAAATAAGGAAACCAAAGACTGCAGGAGGCCATTTGGTGCAGTTGGGAAAGTCAGTGGAAGAGGAACTTCCTTAGGGAAATACGTTGAGCAACCGCACTTTAATAGTCCTGGTGACTCATCTGAGAGAGGAACTCCCTCCCGTAGCCTAGGATTCTCCCTCCAGGGCCTGCCCATCAGCATCCTTGCATATTTAGAACACACCTTGGGAAAAATGCATCTCGCAGTGACACTTCAGTGACTCAGGTGCTTTGTATACAGAGAAATTCCAGTGACTGTAGGTTTATCTTTAACACAGTTTGGTTTCATGCTCTTTGGAATTGTAGTTACTTTCCAAAAACCATAATTGGCATTTGTATTACTTTCTATCAAAGTGAAAGTATCAGAACAAAATTTATGAAATGTGTGGATTGCTACAAGCTGTGAGATATAGAATCAGTTGTTCGTAGATTTGATCTCTGCCTACTGGGTATATTTAAATGACTTGGAAAATTAAAATAATGTAAATTTCCAGACCCTGTCACTAGAGAATCTACTACAGTATACTTCCATGCTTTGTTAGACTGCTTTTCCTCTATTTCCATTGGGAGCTACAGTCAATGTAGATAGAGGTCATGAGTGAAGGCTTTGGAATCAGAAAGCTTGGCTTTGAGTCCTTACTCTGTCATTTCTTATCTGTCTGACCTACAGCAAACCTCAACATCTCATCTGTAATATGGGGACAGGAATTTCTGCCTCCCAAAGTTCTGTGAGGGTTCACTGACAACATGAACGTGAGGCATAACACTGTGGTATATTGTGGAGCACCTCAATAAATGCCAGCTAGTCCCATTCTTATCACTACACTGTTTCTGTTTTGACATGACGTTTCTGTGCGTTATTTTTCTGATATGTTCGAGGGGTTACAAGTTTGGGAGAAGCATATAATATCAAACAGAAATTGATGTAATCTGTTGCCTCTGAGTGGAAAAAAAGAGGTCATTCAGTCATGAGTAGGATTCCCTAAGAGGTGGGATGATGGATTTCCACAGCTGATTCCTAAATGACGTGTTTCACTGTTTAAATTACTGTTTTCTCCAATTGCTTTGCAGCGGAGATTAAAATCTGTTTTAAATATTACCACGGCATTAGTGGGGCCCTGCGAGCCACGACCCCCTGCATCACCGTGAAGAACCCGGCTGTAATGGTGAGTGCCCCTCGCTGCCAGCTGCCTCGTGAGATCCATGCTGGGACTTGATTTCTATTTTTGCCTGGGCGGCCCTGACAGGGTTATGAGGAACAATGAAAAGGAAACACATAACAGTGTGGGCACTGTTATAGGAAAGGAAATAACTTACAAGGTTGACATACCCGAATTCCTAATTCAAGTCAGTGGAAACGTAGGATTTGATTTGTACCAGCCGTTTGTAGAGTCAACTCTCGAGGAAACTCATTCATGAAGCAAAGTAGCAAGTGCCTCATTCTGGAAGGTTGAAACTTAGTCTGGGTGACCAGTTGGTAGGAAAGAGTGGCATTGCATCTTATGTGAATTTTAACCATTTAAAGTGTGGGTGATTTACCTGCCAGTCAACTCAAAGAGCTGTTGCTGCAGAGAGTATAAGTGGGGAGTCACAAATGCACTGTTTCCTTAAGGTCTTAGTGCTGGTTCCTTCTTAGTGCTGAGTTTGGGTCTAGTGCCTAGAGGTACTGCTCATATTTTGGGTAAAATGTGGTCACTCAATGGAAGTCAACTTCTTTAACTTCAGAAGTTGACTTCAGAAGTCAGGCCTTCAGTTGAAGAAACAGATATCTAATTTACTTTTGTAGGAAACTTGTGGTGTTGGACTTTTGAAAGAAAACCCGCCCATTTCCAACATGGCAATTTTGTGATTTTTTTTAAATTTTATTTTAGAATCTAACAGTCTCACAACACACAGCTCCACTGTATATGGGTGGTTGGACTCAGGTGGTTTGGGGAGATTCTTAGAGTCCAAGATATGTAAATTACTTCAGTTGTAATTAGTCATTACTAAAAATGAGGTCATGAAAGCATAGAAAAAATTACTGACTCCCATGACATAGAATCTTTACAACATTGTATGTGTGGGTGTGTGTGTATATACACAGTTATAGATGCTTGCATTTTTGGAAATAGGCAAGTAGTCAGGTTGAAATTCAGAAAGCAGTCTTTGCAAATAGCACTTTGAAATTGTTCAGACTCACCCTATGCTGTCTCTGATAGTGCTTGTACCTCTGTATCAGGCGTTCTTTCCCTCTCATCTATTCATTTAAGCAAATATTCATTAAATGTCTGCTAAGTACTAAGCATTGTGCCACCACTACAGATGAAATATGAGGAAAAACCCCGTCATTGATCTCGTAGGTCTGGTGCAGGAGAGAGACATCAATCAAATATTATATTTATTTGAGTGATAATTGTATGAGAGGGAGCAAAATGGGGCAAGAGAGCACGTTCTGTGTAGTAGGATTTGTCCTGATCGGGAAATTCCTGGAAGGCTTACCTTAAGAAGGTGTGTCTGAGAGACAAGCTGAAGAAGTTTTATAGGTGAAGAGGGAGGGAAGAGCATTGCAGGCAGAGGGAATAGTGTGTGCAAAATCCTCAATATCTAAGTACTCTGTTCACATTAGAATTATATTTGAGTTTCCATTGTAGTAAACATAGTATAGAACATAAAAGAAAAGCCTACATTTACTATGTAAGACTTTGAAGGTCACAAAGAGAATAGCAATTGTTGATTACAAAGTCTGCCATGTCACATAGTAAGCACTGGAACAGACTTCAGTTACTATTCTAAAAAGAAAAGTTACAAAACTAGAAGAGTGGGGCCGTTTTTAATAAAATCTTTAAAAAAATCATTGTGTCTGAAATTAGACAACAGCTTCCAAACATGATTAAGCATTTTCTGGATTTAGATTTTTATACTTGAGCAATTTCAGTATTCAGATATCATCGAAGGCAGCGGGAGTTTACGGTTTGTTGAACACTGATCTTATTCCATTGATTTTTGCATTGAGATTGCTCTGTCAAAGCCTGTGGATAGTTTGGAGATAATTAATTTGCTTCAAATGGGTTTCAGAGCATCTTAAAAGCATCACAGATACAGCACTGGCAATCAGTATAGTGTATTTTGGTTCAGAGATTGACTAATGCAATGAGTGGTTAATCGATTTCTGACCAAGCTTGGGATAGTTTGGTCTCTGTCCAAAATTGAAAGGCTGTGCCTCATGGGCACCTCATTTTGGGGGTCAGGAGTATGACCATAATAGCATGATGGTCACCTAGGTATATGATGTATGTTTAGTTATGTGACTGATTAACATCCTTGATACGTACACATCCCACTTAGTACAATTATACCATGGCCAGATACAAAGAGTAGACCTGGAAGAAGTAATTGAGAAACTCCACAGGGAATGAAATGAGCTGTTACCCTAATCATGTGGTTTCTTTTCTCACATATCCTTTTGCAATGAATTGAAGATAAAAAAAAATTGTGACTTGTCTGTCATTTGTATTTTGTTGTCATTGTCATTCATCAGCATACACAGTGATATGTGTCTCAGATACTTGGAACAGGAAATCTTTCAGCTTCAGGGACAAATTAAGGCTGCCATTACTCACTACCATGTATTGTTTCAACACTTGGTTGACATTCTTCTTCCTGGGTTTTCCTGGAATGAATCTATGGAGTGAGTTTATTTTAAAGCCAGTCTCTAAACATTGAGTGCAGATGTGTTTATTATCCCTAATGTCCCTGTATCTAATGGTAATGCCTGGTTTTTCCTGGCTTTATTGTAATGAATGATAAAAATTGAATTATTTGGATATGATTTCAGATGAGCATTTTGCCAGAGTTGTTGTACAGTACACTTTTTCTGTGAATTCTTTGAGAATTGTTTCAGGAAGCCTTTTGCCAGAGGGTGAATTACATTTGAAAAACGAGAATTAGAGGACATTTGCTTTTGTTTCTCATAATTTCTTATAATTTTCAAGTAGGTTTTAAATGAAGACAGGTTATGAATTGTTTCAGCCTCATTAAACTCACTGAGCACAAGTATCCATAGCCGACAGAGATGTGTGGGGTGGCACATCTTACTGGGGCATGTGGCCCATTTGTGGAGAGGCCACAGTTTGTGGGATATCTTCCTATGCCCAGACACAGAAGGAGTGGCAGGTTACTGAGGGTGTGTCTCAGTCATAGTCCAGCGTAGTGTGTGGTGAAAGCAGGATGAGATGGCCGCAGCAGTTTGTTGTCTGACCAGTGTACTGCTGCCTCTGCCCTAGTTAATCTGGGAATGCTGAGTCAGTGGAGTACAATACAATATCATAAACCACTCGTGTTTGTTGAGAGCCAACTCTATGATTGAGGAATTGGATTTGTAGACGGAAGGAAATACAGATACCTGGATGGACCCTGGTGTGTTGCAGAGGACATGTGAAGCAATCAGGATGCAGTTAAGTGGCACACAAAATAGTTTGACTAAAGTACAAGAGTTACAGCGGAGGCAGTAGAAATTTATACTTCAAAATTTGAATGGGATTTCTCAACTTTGCTTGGATTAGTGATGACTTTTATCTCCTGGGGGTATGTGATTTTTATAGGAATGTGGGGAGTGCAGCAAATATGAAGTGGAGAAAAAGTTTAAAAAAAAAAATCAGACCTGGACAGTAGTTAAGTAGTAAAAGCAAATTCAAGTCAGGAACTATTGCATTAGGGGAAAAGAGAACTCACTATAGAATTGGCTCAATTCCAGATATAACAAGGGAAAGTGGGGGTTAGAAGCCAAGAAGCAGGGTTGGAGAGGAGGGATTGGCAGATGGAAATTTACCAAGAGCTTAGGGGGATTCTTGTTAAACTGACCTAACAGAATTCTTGCTGAAAGAGGGCCAGAGTGATCAGTTATCACACGGAGGATGGTGGGAGATGAGGAGTTTGATCCGATATCAAGGGTGATCACATATTGAGGGTGGGGGTTGACTCTAAACTGACTTACCAGTTTTACCAGACTTGCTAAAACTAAACTCTATAAGGATAGAGATAAAAGCCCAAGGCCTGCCTAGTTGAGCAGAGAGCTCCAAAGAGCCTGAGTAAAGTTTGCTCAAGGAAAGAATCTTTGTCAGAAGAACTTAATCTAAACTTCAGAATTAAAACGTGGTTCTATTTCCCACATTTGGGTATATTCTGCCTTCAATTCTGTCTCTTGCAGTATTGTTGACTTCTTTTGCAGAGTATTGTGAAGGTTTTTCTTCCTAATGTACCACAAATTGTGCATTAATTGCACATAAATTGAGAGAAAGGTCTAAATTTGCTGGGTGGTGTATAAATTACTGGCTTCTTGTGAGGTATAATTTACTCAAAAGCTTTCAGGAAAAGGTTATCAGTATAATAGCACTGCATATTCTTCTTATTGCTAATTATAATAGCATGTGCCATGTACCTGCAGCGTAATAGAACACAAGCCTGCAAGGGAGATAGGACTCCATGTGGATTTTCAGAAATACTTGGCGAGAGAGGGTAATTCTATATATACAGGTAGGTCTGATATAAATCAATTGTTTCATTTATTCTAGATTTTCCTAACAAATCTGAAGGAACTTGATATTTGGTTTTTAACTAAAGAGAACATTTAGTATAGTAATAGTAATATATTTACTACAAATCAACTATATTCTTATCAAAGGGAAAAAAGGATGTAAATTAGTTTGATTCATAGTTATTGAGAATTTTTAAGCTTATATCTTTTTTATTTGGGGTAAAGATTACATTTTAATCTTTCCTCCAAGAATCAGCATTTGTGTCTCTGTTCCAAGATTTGGAAATGAAAGGACACATGATACAATACCTGTTTGATGCAAAAATCATTGCATCTGGGTACATACATGGTTTCCTAGACAGATCCAGTGGCATCATACGCCTCTGAAACTTCAGACGCATGTTTTTTTTTCCTTTCAGATGGGGGCAGAAGGCATGGAGGGAGGTGCTTCAGGAAACCTGCATTCTCGAAAACTCGTTAGCTTTACATTGTCAGGTAAGAATGTCTTTAAACATGACATTCACTTTGAGAGTGTACAGTTTCGAAGGTATGAATAGTCACTTCTTTCTACAGACTTTCGTATATGATATGATGATATGTGAACTAGTTTTTGGGCGTCATACTTCTGAAAATTCAAGTATATCTCTTACCATGATAAATTAATTATTAATATAAATTCAGAAATTTTTTCTTCTACCAAGTTTTCTGGCAATAGACAGTCTGTATAACTGTGTATAGTTACTTTAAAAAAAACTGCAACGTAACATGTGCTAACCCCACTGAGGAGCTTTGATTATTGAAAATTATTTATTCTTACTTCAGCTAGAGAAAGGAAAAGTTTGAAGACTAGAGAAAAAAACCCAATATACTTCTTTATCTGTGGAGGAATACACATAAAAATTGGAAAGTAGATAAGCCAATTATTTTTGGCTTGTCAGATTGCTTGTATGTTTACCATACAAGTAAAGCACTGCTTTTCAAGTTATAAGACAGGACTCATTTCCAGTTTGTAAGTTTAATTTAGTTAAAATCAGTAATTTAAAAAAAGAATAATGTCAGAGTTTACCACTAAAGGGAAATTTTTTGGGTAAAACATCAATTTATACAAACTGAAAATTTTCATATACAATAATATACATCCCTATATTTGTGTGTACTAGGTTGCAATGTAAAATGTATTTCATACATAGGACACTGTTGAAAAAGTTTGAAAGGCACTGATTTTAGAAAATAAATTGGTAGTCATAAAGTCAGGAATACTCTAGGAAAATCCGTATTTGAAATAGACTTTTAAAACAGATAACCGTGCTACAATACATAGAAAATAAAGTCTAATGGAGCTCCTTCACTGGAATATGTTTTGTTTTCATTTTTTTGTGTTGTAGTACACTACACTACATAGAAAATAAAGTCTAATGGATCTCCTTCACTGGAATGTCTTTTTTCATTTTTCTGTAGTTGTACTTCCAAAATTTAAATTTAGACCCACTTTTCTTGACTGCAAAAAACAAACAAGCAAACAAACAAAAACATGTTGTGAGAGTGAGCGTTAAAAGACCTGATCCTGAAACAGACGCTTCCACAACGCATAATTACCACATATGACTAAAGTGTACACATCAGTTCACTGTTGGCCCATGGCCTTCTGAGTATCTGTGTTTGGTTTTGCATGTTTCTCCTTTCCCCATATGAGCTTGCTTTTTTGCTTTGCTTCTCTGGTGAATCTCAGCAGCTGTAAACTAGTGACTTATGGTTCTAGTTTGACCAATAAATATGTTCTGTTAGGAACCATCAGGGTTTAAAAAATATCTAGGTTTGTAGAAGGGCACTAAAAATAACCATGCCTGTGGTACTATCTCCCTACCCCTCTTATCTCCCTGTTTCCTAGAAACATCTTGGCTGTACACCTGTGCTTTAAACCTTCACGGTACTGAGGGTCTGAAGCTACTGAAATCTCTGATGATAGGCAAGAAACAATTTGTTGACCCAAATAGCTCAGAAAATTTAGAGTATGACCACACCATGAGTTTCTTGTTTTTGTTTTTTTTAATTGACTTGTAAAAATTGTTTTTTTAATGGTGTACTGCATGATGTTTTGATATAAACCATGGGTTTCTTAGTTCAAAATTGGTACCCTATGCTTTTAGGTGATCCGTATTGCATGACACACGCTTATTGGTTTTGACTCCAGATGGGATGTTATTAACTGACTATGTGAGAATGACCATCTGTGAGTTAAAAATCTTAGGACATTTTCCTAAAAAGTAGGAAGCAAGCTTTGAGGCACAGCCAAATGCTTCTTCCTTACACATTTCTTCCAGCATCGCACCTCTATTCACATGGAGGCTAGCTACCTAACATCTGTTTTATTTCTTACCATATAGCCAGACATTTGCAGACAGTATACAGAAATGACAAGGAGCTGAAACTAATTCTATAGTGTTAATTCTAAAAAATTAGTCTGGTTATAGCATACTGACAATGGATGATAATATTTATCTGAGAGCATTTAAGCAGTATAGAATGGCTGCCTACAAATATTCCACTCTTGATTATATGTGGATAGGTAGGGGCACAAATACTTGAATTCTACAGCTAAAATTAAAAATGTATTTTCATTAATATTTTAAACGTGCTCCAAATAAGGCTTTACTTAGGAAATTTAACACGTCAAACCTTTGTGACTTTGAGTCCTTCTTTGGCCTATTACATGGTGTAGATATTTGTGAGCAACAGCATATGTAAAAGACAAAAAAGAAAAGATCAGAAATGAGATGGATAAAGGGAACCAAATAATCAGATTACAAATAGTTGGTAGTTTATTGTATTTATTAAGGAAGATTTATTTGTACAGTGTCCCATTGTGGAAAAACTTTGTATCAGGCTTATCTGACAGTGATATTATTTATCACAGTGACTTAATCATCTGGTGGAATGCTTTTTGTTCAAAGGAATATTTTTTGTGAGTGATTTAACTCTGTCAGACTTTGTGGCCTTCATTTCTGTCCATGTTACTCTTCATTTACTACAAAGAAATCCCTTTTTTGGGCATAGATTTAATATATAAAGAATTTCATTCTTCTGTCTGGGTTCAAGGGGAACATAATCAAGAAAGGCAAGAAAATAAATGTGGCAATTGCCTTTTCTTCTCAAAGCTGTTCCCTACTGAAGAAAACCAAGTGAAAGTAGCATCACTAAATTGACAGTAAGATAAAAATTCTGCATTTAATAATGAGTACGTAGTTTATGAAGTGTCAGGAATGGAGATTGCAAGGCTAATGAGACAATGGAAGCCTCTCTGAAGTGCCTATCTAGTTCTTTACCCGTCTTTTCCTTCTCCTACTGGTTTTCAGATCAAAGATCTTACTATATATTTCATGCAGTGTTCTCAACGCACAGTGACTCACGCCTGTAATCCCAGCACTTTGGGACGCCGAGGTGGGCAGGTCATGAGGTCAGGAGATCAAGACCATCCTGGCCAACATGGTGAAACCCCGTCTCTACTAAAAATACAAAAAATTCACTGGGTGTGGTGGTGCGTGCCTGTAATCCCAGCTACTTGGGAGGCTGAGGTACGAGAATCACCTGAACCCGGGAGGCAGAGGTTGCAGTGAGCCAAGATCATACCACTGCACTCCAGCCTGGTGACAGAACAAGATTCTGTCTCAAAAAAAAAAAAAAAAAAAAAAAAAAAAAAAAAAAAAAAAATGCTCTTGGTTTAATTTTTAAATATTTGCAGATATATAAAACGTTCCCCCTCTACTGCCAGGTATATGTCATTAGACATTTCTGGAGTGTTTTTAGCACATGTGCCTGGGCCATGAGTTCTTGTGGGCCACTGGTGAGCCACCTCCTGGGAACACTCATTCAAGAATATGGTTCTATGGGCAATTTCAGGCCAATTCTGTTTTTCTAAGAAAGACCTTGTGTTTCAGGAGTGGGCTTGTGTGGGATGACCCTGGTGACCTCCTGTAATTTAGGGTCACTATCCAGGGTCTGTTTGCCAGCTGATCTGGGTAATCCAAAGGTCTGTGGAGGTTCAGGGGCCATATGCAAAATTTCTCTCTGAACCACAGTGTTCAGAACTTCCCTAGATTAATCTTCCAGCATTTTCTAAGATGACTTAGCTCCCAGGCCTATTTTATTCAAGCCAATATTCTCAGAAATGTTGAAGACTCAGTGGAGCCAGCTTTATTTCCTGACATGTTTGTGTCTCTTAGCCTGACCATGGAAAAACATACAGTCTCCTCACTAAATGGACTTTGGCTAGGACTTTTAGCAGCATATAGTATGAAACAGCAATTTGTAAATCTAAGGTGAGTTATAGGACATTCTCCAAATGTTTAAGTTACTTTACTGGCTATTTAAAATAGCAGGTAGCACTTACATTTCAAAAAACTTTTCCCCTAACATTCATCGTATTTATGGAATATATATGACATTTTAAATGTGGTACAAATGGATATATGCTCTGATGTTTCATCTCCCATTAAACTTAGTTCTATGTATATGTAGAAGATTCATTTTTCTCTCATGAAGGAACATGTTTTTCAGTGAACTGCTTACTAAGTATTTCTTTCAAGACGTTGCCTGGGGAGGCCGAGGTGGGTGGATCACGAGGTCAGTAGATTGAGACCATCCTGGCAAACACTGTGAAACCCCGTCTCTACTAAAAATACAAAAAAATTAGCCAGGTGTGGTGGCGGGCACCTGTAGTCCCAGCTACTCTGGAGGCTGAGGCAGGAGAATGGCATGAACCCAGCGGGCGGAGCTTGCAGTGAGCAGAGATCACACCACTGCACTCCAGCGTGGGCAACAGAGCAAGACTCCATCTCAAAAAAAAAACAACATTATCTGAGATTCTGGTTGTCGAATTACATTACCCTAGGAAAAAGGTGGTGAAGGTGCACATGTTGGAATCAAAAGGGAGCTGAAAAACTGAAAAGTCAGTTTAGGAATGTGAGGTGGTGCTAAAGGTTTGGCTTCACTTATGCAGCCTGTTAGGTGACCCCTCTGCTGAAATTACTGCCATAACCCATTTGTCTTCACCTATCTAAGCAATCGTAGTGTGAATACTGCTGTTGTGTTACTGAGTCGTTTCTGTTTAGAGCTTCCTGTGTGTTTATTTAAGAACAAATTGTCTTTGAGCTGCTTGTTCTAATCAGGACATATGGATCCTTCCTTCTATCCCTTGTTCTCTCCCTTCCTCCTTTCTTTCCTCCCTCCCTCCTGCTTTCTCTTTGTCCCTCCCTCCTTCTCCCTCTTTCTTTAAAGATCTTAGGGCAGTTGGGCTAAAGAAAGGGATGTTCTTCAATCCTGACCCTTATCTTAAGATGTCAATTCAGCCAGGAAAGAAGAGCAGTTTCCCCACCTGTGCCCACCATGGGCAGGAGAGACGGTCTACTATCATCAGTAACACCACCAATCCAATTTGGCACCGAGAGGTAAGATGATCCCTAGGGGTCTCCTACTTGTCAGTGAGGAAGTCAGCCCAGTCTGTCTCTTTCCTCGGGACTTTTGCATCCTCAGGTTGTTGATGAAGTGTCTAGGGGTTCTGTCGGGAATGGGATACAATGAGAATGAGCTATTCCCGCCTCTCCAGAGCTGGGTCTAAGGTAAGACAAATGAAGCTGTCACTTCAAGGGAACAATTTAAGGAGCCTCCGAAAAACTCAGTTGTTAAAATAAAGATCCTAATGTAGTTTTTTTAAACTCACAATTAATGCAAAAAGTTCATGATGAATAAAATATGAAAATTTGAAGTAAGGACAGGGTCAGTAACATTGCCTTGTAGAGTCCTAGTGGGACCTGAGGCAAGAGGAAAAATCAGCAATACTGGTCGTGTTTTTATTTAAAATTGTGATATTTTGTTGTAGCATACATTTAGTACAAATTAAAGGAATTTCTCTCTCTACGGGCTTTGGCAAATGTTTTATGAATTTCTAGATTTTCGTTAATTAGATGAGCCATTCAAGGAGTCATCATCTTGCGTGAAGCCAGATTGTGTTGATGGTATTTTAGACTTCCTCACAGCTACAGTATGCTACCAGTCAACTTAGTGCACCATATCAGTGAAATCACGCAAAGGGTTTTCTCATTTGAACTATGGAAAGTCAGAGAATGAACAAACAGACACTTCTTATCTAGTGAGCAAAGCTTGAGCTGTCCCTCCATGTCTCAGAGATCTGAGGTGTGTTTTACATAACTAGTGTGAGAATGTTTCTGGGCTGGCATAGGAGTTACACAGTTAATTAGATCATACCCTCAATATTTAATGACAACAATATGTTCTAACAATGTTGCAGAAATATTTAATTGGAGAAAGGTATTCAGGGGATCTAAAACCAATTGGAGAAAAGATACGGTTGTTTGAGACTTGCCGACACAGCAAGGTATTTCTCCTGGGCAGTTCCTGTGGTTTTGGATATTGAATATTGCTTGTATTCTTATGCTTGGTTTAAGAAACTACTAATGATCTATTATGGTAAAAAACTATTAAGGGCGTACCACTTAGTCTAATGCATTTCAAAGCCTAGAAGAAATAAAAATATATCTCAATATGATTCCAGAAGGCACATAATAGATATGATAATGAAACAAGCAGTAACTATTTTCCTAACATTTTAAATTTGCAAAGTTTTTGACCATGTCACCAGTGCAAGCCTGAAAGGGAGGCACAAAGGATGAGATTATTATGTCTTCATTTTGGTGATTAAGAAATTGAAGCTTAAGGTGTTTATGGGACTAGGTATTCAGAGACAGAAGTGGGGCTTAAACTCGGCTTTTTTATTCTAAGCAAGTACTTTTTTCCATTAAGCAGACTGCCAAATTGCATGGTCCTTTGGAAAACCTTAATTGTTATGACTAGATAAACCTAGAGGCACCTAAGTGAAAAGTTGGCTAACACTATTCACATCACTGTAGTTGATGGATACTCTCAGGGAAGCAGTGAAATAATTTAGGTTAGATTCCTGGCACCATCATTTACTTATACTGAGATTCTCATCTTTAAAAAGAAAATTATATCATTGTAAAGATAAGGTGAAGATAATACATGTAAAAGTCTCTGTAAGTGAGTAAAGCTCTTCATATTTATTTTATATCTTATTAATGCCCAATCCAAATTTCCCCAGTGGCATTCTTAAAATGAAAACAACAAAACCTATCTTAACTTCATACTTTTATTTTTCTGTCCCAGAAGAAAGAAATAACCCTGTGTGCCTTTTAAACTTAAGGAAAAATTCCATTTGAACATTGTTTTAACATTTATCAGGGAAACCACAGTATTCTGCAGATGTTCCTATTTTAACCACTAAGTGGAGGAGTATTTTAAACTATGTTTTGCAACTTCAGAATTTCATGAGATTAGGAATTCAAATTGTCAATCAAATATACTAGTTAATTCTAAACCATTCTATAACAAGATATTAAATATCAAAGAATTGAGATACAATAAATGTAGAGAGTACTAAAATTGCATTGTGCATAACTTAATATTTGATAACATCTCCTAAAACTGTGAAACTAGGAAGGGCTGCATGATTGACTGAGAGGGCTTCTTTTGTCATACAGATCCTTGACTGCTGCTTTTTAGTCATGGTGAATGCTTCTGCTTCTGAGTGAATAAAGGATTGACAGTAGCTGCAGCTATTTCTAGCTATGTGGAACTCTATGTTGTTAGAATTTAAGAGATACCATTTCCTATACAAATAAAATGATACAGTGTCATATTTGTCTTTCTTTTAAACCAGCATGTTATGTGTTTGTGTTTTCAGAAATATTCCTTTTTTGCACTTCTTACTGATGTCTTAGAAATTGAAATTAAAGACAAATTTGCCAAGAGCCGTCCCATCATCAAGCGTTTTCTGGGGAAACTAACCATTCCAGTCCAGAGGCTGCTGGAGCGACAGGCTATCGGGTAATCAGCCCTTACCTTTGGGGATCTTGTTGAGATTAGTTCGTATAGGAAAAAATGAAATGAAACTTGGTACTCCTAGGACTTTTCAGACTGGTAAGAAGTAGTAACACAATTCTTTTAAAAATAAAAATGTCCTTACACTTACTAAAATATACTTGACAAAAAGTAGTTTATTTTAATTATATACGTTTTTTGCATCTTTATCTTTTCCAAGAGGTACCCACCATTAACATTTCAGTGTCAGATCTCATAGTGTTTGATTGTTTCTCAGTATATTGGAGTTTTTTATAAAACTTTCTCCCTAGGGCAGAATTCTAAGGTCGGGTTGATGCCTATCTTATCCTAATTAATTCCATCCAGAGAACTTGTTACTCTTGAAAAACAGAAATAATCTTGTTTTGGAGCCATTTGAAACAAGACCTAGACTTGAGGAAGTGTTATAATAAAACTCCTAGACACATACATTCCTTCAAGCAATTAAAAATTTATTCATTGACATACTCTTAAAATTTAGTTAATGTGTAATTAATGTCTTTTCTTTTTGTGAGCTTTTTGTAAGTTGTGAGTGAAGTAGTAAGTCATACTGAGGAGATAGAGAAGACCAAAAACAAGTTATGCAAATTAATAATGCATCACTGACTAGAGGCTGTAAACTGTACAGTGAAGCAAACAGTAGATAGAAGAAACATGGTGTCTTCCTTCTGAAATAGCCATTAGAGGGCAGAGGTGGAGTGATTTGGCACTATCCTTCTGATGATTTTCCTTAATTAAGAATAGGTTGGTGGGCACGGCGGCTCATGCCTGTAATCCCAGCACTTTGGTCAGCCAAGGTGGGCAGATCACCTGAGGTCAGGAGTTCAAGACCAGCCTGGCCAAAATGGCGAAACCTCGTCTCTACAAAAATACAAAAAAATTAGCTGGGTATGGTGGCAGGCGCCTATAATCCCAGCTACTTGGGAGGCTGAAGCTGGGAGAATTACTTGAACCTGGAGGTGGAGGTTGCGTGAGCCAACATCGCACCACTACACTCCAGCCTGGGCAACCTCGGCAACAGAGCAAGACTCCGTCTCAAAAAAAAGAATAAGTCATTTAATTCAGAATAAGATTGTTGCTTGTGTGCAAGAAAATGAAATGACTGCATTTGACTCGATAAAGAGTCAGACTTGAAACAGATGGACAACTCCATCCTTGAGGAGGCAGGCGGCCTCGAGCCTGGGGCCCAGGCAAGGCAAAAACTGAACCTGCTTCCAGATCTGGGATATGACCCCACCATAGTGGCACATCTGACTTTGCCAACCATCCCATCAGCACTGCTTACAAGGCACCCTGAGAATCAGTGATAGGCCAGGCTCCCCAGCAGGGAGGGCCAGCAGCTCCAGCCTTCTTACTCTACAGGCGAGGAAGGAGAGCTTAGTGGCCCTCTCCCCATCACACAGCCAGGGCTGCTGTCTTGGGTATGAAGGGCCCTTTCCTTCTTGTGTTCTTGTGCTTTTTTCCCCTAACTCCCAGCTCCTATTCTTCAGGGTATCACACAGTGCCCTACGTGCCGTGTTGGGTGATAATCCTTAGCTGCGAGTGTCCTTTTAGAACCAGCTCCTGTTGTGCTAAATGCTGAGGAAATAGGCCCTCTCCCCTTTTACACCTGAGTCAAAAAATCCCTAAAACTTGAGGCCTTTCACAACTCCTTTATGACCTTCAAAATGTCCTTTTCCTGGTCACCCCTTAAAAGTGAGAGAGTGAATCAGTGTCCTTAAAAATATTCACATAGCGTGTGATATTTTATGCTCTTAATAATAATTTTTCATATATAAATCATGCTGCTATAAAGACACATGCACACGTATGTTTATTGTGGCACTATTCACAATAGCAAAGACTTGGAATCAACCCGAATGTCCATCAGTGACAGACTGGATTAAGAAAATGTGGCACATATACACCATGGAATACTATGCAGCCATAAAAAAGGATGAGTTTGTGTCCTTTGTAGGGACATGGATGCAGCTGGAAACCATCATTCTTAGCAAACTATCACAAGAACAGAAAACCAAACACCGCATGTTCTCACTCATAGGTGGGAACTGAACAATGAGATCACTTGGACTCGGGAAGGGGAACATCACACACCGGGGCCTATCATGGGGAGGGGGGAGGGGGGAGGGATTGCATTGGGAGTTATACCTGATGTAAATGACGAGTTGATGGGTGCAGCACACCAACATGGCACAAGTATACATATGTAACAAACCTGCACGTTATGCACATGTACCCTAGAACTTAAAGTATAATAATAATAATAAATTAAATAATAATAATAATAATAATTTTTCTTAGGGCAACATTTCCTTTTATCCCGGGGTTTATAAGTGTTCCATTTGTGTGAATGAATAATATTACACTGGACTATAATGTGCTTGGAGCCTTTAATGTTCTTGTGAGTCTGAAAGTTTCAAGAGAGATAGGAGGGATTTGGGGGGTGGCCTGTGGAAAGAAGGCGAAGGCGAAGGCTGACTCCAGTGTAGTCAGGATGAAAGAAGCATTTCTCTTCTTACAGTGATCAGATGCTCAGCTACAACCTTGGCAGAAGGCTTCCAGCTGACCACGTGAGTGGGTACCTCCAGTTTAAAGTGGAGGTTACATCTTCTGTTCATGAAGGTGAGATATCAATATATCTGTATGAGTACATTGCTATAGGAAAAACTTGTTAAACCTAACTCAGTTGTCAGTTTGCTTCTGAACAGAATTGAATTCATGTTCTGTTTTGAAAGTAAAATAGCTGTCAAACAATTACCTGCTGAAATTTTCTAAGCAAGTAGGAAAGCCTGTTTGCCCAAAAACGTCTCTTAGATTGATGCCTACATTTTGAAACTGGGCTGTAGAGTTTTCAGCCATACTAACATATTTAGTTCCTGTGCCAAACCGACTAGCAGTCTCCTCATTTAGTAGTGAGTGGTGAATCTCAGCAAGTCAGTAGAAAGCCCTCAGTGGAATGACTGATTTCTTTGAACTTAATGGTGGCAAAGCAAGTAGGTCATAAAACATTCATTTGTTATTTCTAGTTAATTTTTAGAAATGCTGTTTTCTCATTCAGATGCCTCTCCAGAAGCTGTTGGCACAATACTTGGAGTCAATTCTGTGAATGGAGACTTAGGTAGCCCTTCCGATGACGAGGACATGCCAGGGAGCCATCACGACAGCCAGTTGTGCTCTAATGGGCCAGTTTCTGAGGACAGCGCTGCCGATGGGGCGCCCAAACATTCATTTAGGACTAGCTCCACGCTGGAAATAGACACCGAGGAATTAACTTCCACTTCTTCAAGGACCTCACCTCCCAGAGGACGTCAGGATTCACTCAATGATTACTTAGATGCTATCGAACACAACGGCCACTCCAGGCCAGGGACAGCGACCTGCTCTGAGAGGTCCATGGGCGCCTCTCCGAAACTGAGGAGTAGTTTTCCCACCGACACAAGACTCAATGCCATGCTTCATATTGACTCAGATGAAGAAGATCACGAGTTCCAGCAAGACCTGGGTTACCCATCTTCCTTAGAGGAGGAGGGAGGCCTGATCATGTTTAGCAGGGCATCCAGAGCTGATGATGGAAGCCTGACATCTCAGACAAAACTGGAGGACAACCCTGTTGAGAATGAGGAAGCCTCCACACACGAAGCCGCTTCCTTGGAGGATAAGCCAGAAAATCTTCCAGAGCTTGCAGAAAGCTCCTTACCTGCAGGCCGAGCCCCAGAGGAAGGTGAAGGCGGCCCAGAGTCTCAACCCAGTGCTGACCAGGCCAGTGCTGAACTGTGTGGCTCTCAAGAGGTAGATCAGCCCACAAGTGGGGCAGACACGGGGACTTCTGATGCATCAGGAGGAAGCCGAAGAGCTGTCAGTGAGACCGAGTCTCTCGATCAGGGCTCCGAGCCTTCCCAGGTGTCCTCTGAAACAGAACCCAGTGATCCTGCCAGGACAGAGAGTGTGAGCGAAGCCAGCACCAGGCCCGAGGGAGAGAGTGACCTGGAATGCGCTGACAGCTCTTGCAATGAGAGTGTGACCACGCAGCTGTCCTCTGTGGAGACGCGGTGCTCCTCTCTTGAGAGTGCACGGTTTCCTGAAACCCCAGCCTTCTCTTCTCAGGAGGAGGAAGACGGAGCCTGTGCAGCAGAGCCCACCAGCAGCGGCCCTGCCGAAGGGTCGCAGGATTCCGTGTGCACTGCTGGTTCTTTACCTGTGGTACAGGTGCCCAGTGGGGAGGAGGAAGGGCCAGGGGCAGAATCGGCCACTGTACCTGACCAGGAGGAGCTGGGGGAGGTCTGGCAGCGGAGGGGGAGCCTGGAGGGAGCTGCAGCTGCTGCCGAGAGCCCTCCGCAAGAAGAGGGCAGTGCTGGGGAGGCCCAAGGCACCTGTGAAGGGGCAACTGCCCAGGAGGAGGGCGCTACTGGAGGTAGGATATGGACACCACTGTGGCTTTTGGCTCGAGCGTAGCTGTGCAAAGAGAAGTTCTGTAGTTTTCCCCTCAATCTAAACAAGGCCGCAGGTTGCATATTACTTGAATTTCCCACCTTGAGGTTCACCAGGGGAAGAGAAGCACAATTGCAAACAGGGCCAGGAAGAGAAGGAAACAGGTAACAAATGTGTGGGCAGCTGAAACCCTTCCTCTAGATTAGGCCTCCTGTTTCAGAGTGGGGAGACTGAGGGACTTAATCACATAGCTAGGAAGAAGGCAGCGCGATTTGCGTCCAGATGGGCTTGAGTTCAAATTCAGTGCTCTTTTAAAAAATGGCTCTTCTGCTGCTGAAGTAACAGGCCCGTTAAACAGCAGTCTTCACACTTAAATAATGGGTCTCTTTTGGAACCTGGGTCTGTAGATACACAACCACACAGGCTGGCAGCTTCAGCCTTAGTATAATCTGCAAAGGTTATGAGAAACACCTAGTCACTCCTCCTTTCTAAAATTTCACAGTGGAAGATTAACATATGCTACGCATCAAAGGTAATATTTTTGTCTTCTACAATTTAGTAATGTCTACTAAGTTAGGTGATGCATTCTGACCTGGAGACTAAGCTGTTTTTGTATCCAAGGATACAAATTTACACCTGAAATTTGTATTACTCTCAGTGAATGCGGCTCTCTAGAATGATTACTTCAAAATGCCCTATAAGGATGCATTAAAAATCAAAGAGCATGACTGAGCCAGACTCCGTCTCAAAAAAAAAAAAAAAAAAAAAAAAATCAAAGAGCAATTTCATATGTCTGTCTGGCATAACTCAAAACTAGGAATGATTTTCTTATTCTGTAATTTATTTTTCTACCTATATGATCCCTTCTTTTCTTCGTCCTCTTTTTTTTTTTTTTTTTATTTTGTTTCCTTCATTATATTGTAGCCACCATGTGACCCTGAAGCGTTAGCGCATGGCCAGGACAGAGGCCATTGTGGGTGAGGGATGAGGAAGCGGAAGCCACAGGAGGGGAGGGATACGTGCAGAGGACAGTTCTTCAGGAAGCCCGCTTCTAAGCATTCACCTCCTATTCTCTTCTTTTGTTTCTAGGTCCTCATATGGGAAATGAGACTAAACAGAGAAAAGAAACTAGCCTTGGAATTTATGTTAGGTTTTTATATAGAGTCTGTTTTGATACTGAAAGAGAAAACAATATCTGGTAACTTTCTACCTTTAATCCTAGGTTCTCAAGCCAACGGCCACCAGCCACTGCGATCACTACCTTCAGTGCGCCAGGATGTTAGCCGGTACCAGAGGGTGGACGAGGCTCTTCCACCAAGTGAGGACCTGTTAGTTAAAAGGGCCCACCTTAATCAAAGGGTGAAAGGTGACAGGCAGACCCATTCCCATGAGTCTTCGAAGATGGATACATGGTCTTCAAGCAGAAGGAATCTGGGGGCTGCCACTTAGCATAGCAGGTGTAGTCTGGGACGTGCTAGGCCAATGACTCTTCTCTGGCACCATTCTGCTGAAAGAAAGGGCAGCTGTAAACCCTGCGCTGCCCATGGGGTAAACACTATAATAATGGAGGTAGATCCAGATATTTTGGGAAATTGGGTGCATAACAGAATTTTTTAAAATTACGCCTAACCACAGCATGAATGTTCTATCAGCTAATAGACAAATTGGTATACTCTCTTAGAAAAACCTCACTCTATGTAATATACTGCCTTTCTGTTCACTTACAGCATTTAAAATCATTAAGCACAAGGTTCTGATTTTTTTCCTTAGGGATATGCAGGAAAGTATTGTTAATTTCAGAAATTAGTCTACTACTTATTTGGGACATGACAGTTATCTGGGGATTTGAAAGACATTTCATTTATTTCACTTTCAGAAAACAGTTAGTACTTAAAGGAGAGATGGTGGAGGATTAGGGATGCTGGGATATAGTTACATAACCTGTGTTAAAGGTATGAGTGATACCCTCAGCCAATCATAATCCAGATGAAATGTAAACTCGTATGTAAATTTCAACAGTTTTTTAAAGAGATGTAGCTCTATGAGAGCAATGCATTTTGATGAATATTGATAAAGCCTGGTAAACATTGCTTTAAAAAAAAAAAACACTGGAAGGTACACCCTTTTGCCTTACCCCTTTCCTTCTTGCTCACCCCCTCCACTTACCCATCTTATATGTGATCATGACAAGAGGCTGATGCCTGGGTTCCTCTTTGTTTTAAAAGTGGTGGGACATAAAGAAGAGAGGGTACGAATTTAAAGGGTTACGATTCTGAGTGGTTAGTCTGGCAAGTACCCACAAAAGAGCTGAATGGCACTGTGGAGAATTTATCAAAATATCGCCTTAATCCTTTTGAAATTATTTTGGGCACAGATCTTTCCCTTGTTTGTTTATTTGGATAACTAAGGGCCGTGACTCATAGGAAACATGTTTTAAGCAGTTTAAAATAAAATGGACTGAGAGATTAATTAACCTTATGTCATCTTAGGCAGGTAGAGGGGCCCAGGGACCACAGAAGACTTCCTTATTGATAACACATTTGGTAAACCCTTAGAGAAAAGATGAGTCAAAAAAGTAAAATGTTCCTGGAAGATATTTAGGTATAATTGGAGCAAAACAAATTCGGAACACTGGGAGAGAGTTCTGGGAGAGCTTTATTTTTATGTATATACAGATTAATAGTCTATTTAGAGTTTCAGAGTGTTAGATAGGAGCATTGCAGAAGTGCATTGATAAGTCACGTCTTCCTAGCCACATCCAATTGCTGTAATTTTTGCTGTATATAAGTTTGGTCTCCTGATTGTATTTAATAAAGACAGATACTCTCCTGCTGAAATTATGACCACTGTTTGTGATATCTCAATGTATTGTTTAAATACTGGTGTTTGCATTACACCTGTAGATACATCTTGGGAAATTTTTTTTTTTACAATTGGCAGTTTCTTTTAATGAGTTGATGTATTTGCAAAAGTAAAGGCAACTTAGTGACTCATCATATTTAATCAGTGACTGACAAACAAGAGAAAAATTCTTAAGAAGCATTCCCTCTTATTCAGAGGTTTTCAGTGGTGGCAGGGGGTGCCACCCACTAGGCGATGTTTAGAGTTGAGGCGGGGTGGGTGGCCTTTCAGTGTAACAGTGGTTGAAGGGCGCTACTGGCATTTAGTGGGTGGAGGCCAGTGTATTAAACATCCTGCAATGGTGAGACAGTCGGATACAACTAAGAAGTGTCCCACCCAAACTTCGACAGTGTGCCCTCTAAGAAACACTTCTCTGTGCTAATTTATTTAATGCTTGATAAATAACATTTTTTTTGTAAAATATAAACAGAATGTTTATATTTTAAAAACTCAGAAGATGCCTCCCTCTAAAAATATTAGTTATACACACACACACACACACACTCATACACTTGTGTTATAGGACCAAGCAACTTGCACATTTGGGGATGTGTCTTCTCATGGCTAGGTTGTGGATTGTGGTCTGAACATACCTGACTGCTGTTCAGCTCTGTCAACCATTCCCATGTGTGTCTCGTCCTTGTGACAGTGGTAATCGCTTGGCTGCCCTTGCTACTTGTCTGTCCTCACCTCAGCTAGGTCCCTGCCCTCCTTTTCTAACTGGACAACTCTGCTACTACCTCTGGCCATACATCTGACTTACAGCTGTGGCATCTACACTTTGTGGTGTCTTGTGGCTTCTGAGGCTCAGCTAGGGGTGTCGGCTGGATGGTGCAGACTGGTCCGTCTCTTAAATGACCTGGCTGAATTTTAAGGCTAACAGTTTTGATTTTTAACACTGTCAGTTATTATAAGTTCATTTTTATGGTGATTTACACTTTACAAAGCACGCTTTTGCATGCTTTCCTTTATTTTTTGTTCTTTCAATAATTTTGCGAGGTAGGTGAAGCAGGTCTTGTCTGTAATTTATAGGTTGTTGTATAGAAGTCAGCTAATCTGATTCTTTTATTTTATAGTTGCAGAAACTGAAGCCCAGATCAATTAAGTAATTTGTTTAAGATTTCGTGCAAGTAAAAGTTGAGACAGAGTCTCAGATATTCCCTCTCCTCTAACAGGTATTCTGATCTGAGATTGGAAGGGAAGGGCCTATTGTGTGGGTAGATGAATGTAAATCCTGAAGGTCTGGTTTGAGGCAGAGGGTGGCTTACATGGTGATATGTTATTTATTGGGCACCACCAATGCCTCACATCAGAGGGTTTGGAGGTTTCTCTGAAACTTCAATATATTGCAGTGCTTTGAGGTCAGACCCACCAGAAGACTCAAAAAGTGCTCAGCTTTCTCCTCCTCTGGGATAGAGTTATACAAAGAGGCCCTCCTCAAGGAGGCCCCTCACCTAGTAGGGAAGTGGCTGCAGTGGTTTGAGCCAACATGTTGTAGTCCAGATTGATGTGTTGTATTCAGCATCTGTATTAGACCCAGCAGCACCTTTCCTCTCTGTGCAGGTCACTTTCTTTCTACCCTAGGGACAAGCTACTGAAGCAGTATAGTTTGAGCTTTGGTGGCCGCCATTCTTGATTCTTTTTTTTTGCTCTGTCACCCAGGCTAGAGCACAGTGGCATGATCATGGTGCACTGCGGCCTCAAACTCGTGGGCTCAAGTGAAGCTCCTGCCTGGGCCTCCTGAGTAGCTGGGACTATAGGCGAGCATGATCATGCCTGGCTGGTTTTTTTATGTTTTTATGTTTTGTAGAGGAGTCTCACTGTGTTGCCAGGGCTGGCCTTGAACTCCTGGCCTCAAGCAATCCTCCCACCTTGGCCTCCCAAAGTGCTGGGAGTATAGGTGAGAGCCACTGTGCCTGGGCTTGATTCTTTTTTTCTTTTTCTTTATCATTATTATTGTTGTTCTTGTTATTTTAGCTCATTTTCATCGTATTTTCAGGGATTTACTTGTTTGCTTTCTTCTTTTTCCATTCTTATTTCTCCCATCTCAAGAAGGGAAACAGATCTTGGACTTAGTACTAAGACTGATCAGCAGTGACGATGATCTACCAATTGGTTCTCAAAATCTTACTCTTGCCTTAGGCCACACAGAGTGCACTGTGGCCTTGTGGCTTGTGTAACACCAGCTCTAGTTGAGAGATATTCTAATGATTCGTAAAAAACAAGAAAGTTCCAGGCCTTGGAGGCAGCATGACACTGTTGAGAGCCTCCCTGGGAAGTAGCTTGGACTCAGTTATGCACAGAATGCCTTATGAATTTGCTGTATCTTCTCATTCTGATGTTACTGATGGTCCTGGCAGCTAGACGTAGTTCAAGGCTGAAGCCCTCTAGAATATTATTGGCATGACAACTGTTGTTCTTTTTAGCATTAAGATGAGTGAAAAAAGAATCACTAGCCCAGCCCCTCTGAAGAACTATTTTCTTTTTCTCTTATTGATTCCAGTGTAATTGTGACTTAACCCATTGCTGCGTTGGAGACAATATGGAATTGTTGTATAAACGTTTTTCCCCCAAAATGGTAGTTTTTGTAGGAATAGGACTAGAATCAGGATGAACAGTCTGGGTTAGTGGACTCCGATAGGATCCAAGATGTTGCATATTGTTAGGACTAGTCTATTACTTACGTGAGGGGTTCAAATGGGTAGTTCTGGACAACTATAGGGGAACATTTATCATTTTTGTGTGGTTGTACACTTTCATTATTAAAGTGTTTTTTTAAATGAAGGCCTAAGACCATGCAGTGAATCTGAAAAGTATAATTAATCTAAACTTAGAGTTTCTACTATGTTTAGGATTAGGGGCTCTTATTCTCTAAGCTTACAACTTTGTTTTGAGAAAAAAAATGGATACTTTCAATCTAAAAAGCTACCTTATTAAAAATTGAAGATTAAAGTGCCAAATATACAACTACTTGACTTTTTAAAAAACTTTTTGTTCAAATAAAATAGCAGAAAAGAGCAGATACGGCCTGCTGAATTCTTTCTACTGAACACACATGGCAGCCCACACCATCAGCACTCTAAAAGTCCCCTTTGTACCCTGTTTCAATCACTGTCCGCCACTCTGTATGGGGAAATGGGCCTACCGTTCTGATTCCTAAAGTCATAGATAAGTTTAGCCTACTTTTATACTTTATACAAATGGAATTTTACTTCCTTGAGTGTTCAAATAAGAAACAAATAATCTTTTAAACACTGTCATCTGTCGTTTATCACAAAGCTTATAATTTTCCTTGAAAGTACCTTTAGTTCATTAGAACTTAATCATCTCGTCATTTTGGTGATGATACCTGTGGTTATTGCAGTTTTTTATAGTGGATTTATACATTTACTTCACAACATTCAGATGCTTGATTTTACTAAATCCATTGATAACCAATTCAAAACCCTGCCCATAGCCCACCCCCTACCCACCTCTAATATGTTGTAATTCATGCCGTTTAGTTGTTGACTTCCCAACAACTAAATCAGCATCCACTGAGATGTATTCACAGCTCATCTGATCATGAGCCAAGTGGTGCAGTGGAGACCGAGGTCTGGTTTGAAGGGAGCGGGAAAGGCTGATAAGATGAGCCGAGGGATCATAGGAACAATCCTACCCCCTTTCCACATATGTTGATTTTAAAAACTGAAAACTCTAACGACTTTACCTCTTCTACCTGCCTCTGTTCCCTGCTGAAGAGACCAGTGCTGTGACAGCAGCCTTGGAGTAGTTTTACCCACTTTCTAATTCTCCAACTTTCCCTTAGTGTCCAGCCACTTCAAAGGGGCTATTTATATTTAAGTCTTAGGGTGTCTAAGAGTCCACTTGCTCCTGGATTTTAGGCTGAGGTTTAGGTGTTGTTTGTTTGTTTGTTGTTTGTTTGTTCGTTTTTGAGATGGAATCCAACTCTGTTACCTAAGCTGGAGTGCAGTGGCATGATCTCAGCTCACTGTAGCCTCTACCTCCTGGGTTCGAGTGATTCTTCTGTCTCAGCCTCCTGAGTAGCTGGGATTATAGGCGTGCACCACCACCCCCAGCTGAATTTTGTATTTTTAGTAGAGACAGGGTTTCACCATGTTGGCCAGTCTGGTCTCAAACTCCTGCCCTCGGTGATCCGCACGCCTTGACTTCCCAAAGTGCTGGGAATACAGGTGTGAGCCACTGTGCCCAGCCACTGAGGTTAAGTTTCTAGTGAGCCTCCATTTAATGGTCTCTGAGAAATCTAGCATTTGCTTCGTGGGTTTGTCCAGCAAATTAGCTACCGTTTTAAGTTATTATTCATTTATGTCAGTGCTGCTCAAAGTTTAGTGTGTCTAGGAATAAGCTGAGAAGGTTGTTAAAAATGTAGATAACTGAGCCGTAGCTTTGGATAGTCCGATTCTGAAGACCTGGGGCACATCATAGAAATCTGCATTTTTATTGATCCTCAAAGTGATTCTGGCACATGTTGTCAGAGTCCCACCTGCCTTGAGAAACATTTCTCTAGGTAATAGTTTTCAAACCTTATTATTGTCATGAAGTTATTTATGCAAATGAAATATTATGTGGAACACCAGTATACACAACAATAACATTGGAGCTGTCATGGCTAAAATAGAATTGGCAGATGTTTGTGGAGCCCTATCCCTCGGGGACTCAAAGCTCCTGGCCCTTAAGGCTAGCCTAGACATAAAATGTTGCTAAGTTCTTGCTGAACCTAATATAATAAAATGGGTATCATTTTATAGATTCATAGAATACTAGAACTGGAAGGGACCTTTGCAGTTGATTGTGTCCTCTAATTGTTCAAAACTGTGATTCATAGAGGTGAAGTGACTTTTTTTAAGGGCTTGTAGTGAAAGTGTGACAAGCCACAGCCAGATATCAGGCCTTCTATCTCCCAGTTCAGTGCAGAACAGACACAGACAGACACACACACACCACCAACCCCCCCCAAACATTGTTCTCATTTTCACTGCACCCTGATTATATAACCTATTTGACAATGTAGCAAGACAAGGAAGTAAATGTTAAGTCCCCAGTCTTCTAACTGCCTATCTCATTTTAGCATTGTCTGTCTGAAAGAAACTTTGATGCTATGAAATGAGTTTTCATATGCTTTCTTATACCAAAAACAAACCAGGCCCGATATAAAGACATATAAGATGTTGGAGCAGTTGTACTCAACGAAGTAACTTTGATAGGTACAACAGAGAGCTAACCTTACTGCAGGCACCTCTGCTACCTTTGCCTGGGCAGAATGATATTGACAGTGTGGGTAGAAGTGGATACGTAGTTCATGGATAAACCAATAGCGTAACAGCCCTTCCTGATTTCAGAGCCAAGCATTCACTTGAAATCGGCACTATAGAATTTGTCTTTATGGGTACTTGAGTAATTACATCAGTGTGAAGATACAGTATTTGATAGGGATAATTTTAATATGCATTCAGTGTTCCGTGACCTTAGAAAGCAAATTTTTGGTCCTTGTTTTCTTATTCTCCCTATTGCACATTGAAAGGTCTTTATTGAACTATAAATTAAGGCTATTACTGGCCTTTGTGGAAGGTGAATACAAGAATCATTCTTTTTTGTGGCTTTGTGTCATTTTAAATTATTTTTTCATTTATTACCTGCTGTGTGCAAGACACATTTATTTGGCTGTTCTCTTTTCCACCTCGCCATTTTGCTACACATAGACCTCAAGCAAGCCACAGTCATACCTCACTTGGTAAATTCCTACTTTGTTAGTTCCAGGAAAAAATTCCATCTTTGAGAATTTTTTTTTCACTGTTTTTGTCAGAAAATGGAAAGTATGCAACAATGTGTTTTCTTTTCTGCCATAACTGCCAGAAAATTGAGAGCCAAATTTTAGTAATAATCTAATCTTGGGAGTTTGGCAGCATCTCCTCTTTCTGTTTCCTTTAGTTTGTCTAGTTGGTCTCTATTTTTTTTATCCTGAATTGACCTATTCTACATTTTTTAAATTGGGGCTCCTGTAAACATTCTTTGGAGAAGGATTGGTCATTTCTTTTCTTGTGCGTTTGATTTGATGTCTACGTGCCTGAATTACCCTGACTCTAATGAGAAAGGAATGAGATAGGGGTAATTGGTTCCCAGAATCTTTGAGATGGAAAAGCATGCAAGGAGCAGAGCAAAACAGTGAAATACATCAAAGTGTCTTGAAAAATGGTTCCTGAAGATGCTTTAATGTCCTTGCTATTTGTGAGCATATCAACAGGCTGAGCATGAGGTCTTTTGAAAATGTCTTATTGATGGGACTGTAGTGCCCAAAGAATTCAGATTTGGCAGGCTGTTTCATGGAAGAGTCTGTGTTACCTTGGAGCGTGAATGGCATTGAGTTGTTCACTGTCTGTGTGGTGCTTTTGTTCAGCCCAATTCCTCTTTCTTTTACCATTTGTCATACATTACAATGTGCTTAGATCAACAAAAGATGTCTTTCTGCTTCCAGCTGAGGCGATGGCTTCAGCGATGGTCTGGTGCAGGCTGATCTCTACTATGCAGGTCTTTCCAACCCTCCTAAGGACGCTGTTGGTAAACTTGCCCTCTTCCCTTACAGAGCAAATGCCATAGGTGGTCAGGGGAAAATATGCCCTTCTCCTGGTGTCCAGGATTAACCCCACTGTGTCTGTTGATAAGCATGGGATCACATGGACAGTTTTGAGATAATTGAATGTGTCAGGAGAAAAATGCTTATTAATTTCAAGAAATAACTTACACAAAAATATAAATGCATGAAGAACTTTCCTGGTTAAAGAATAGATTTCTGCTGTTTTCATGTTTCCTGTGTAAATTACCCTTCCCACGTGTAAAAAGTTTCAAAATTTTGCCTTTTGAAAAGATCAGCTCGTGCTCTGTGGATTTCAGTAGGGGAATGGCCTTTTAGAGAGTCACAAAGGTGGGGTGTCTGACTCTGAAGACCAGTCTGCCTTCTGAACATTCACTTGTATATTTCTCCAGAAAGATTTAACACACTTAAAAATAAAATTAATCTGTTAAAACGTTTTGTTTATTTGAAGTTGGAAGGCAAGAAATTGTCCTTGCTCTGAAAATGTAGTCTTCTTTGGAAAAGTGCAAATAGAAGTTTGTAGATAATGATACTGTTTCATCACTAGGCGAGCATAGTTATTTCAGTTATTTTTTCCTGAGGACTAAATTTACTACAATTGTGCATGAATATGCATGTGGAAGTTTCCAGCTATGAGGTTTTCGTTGAAGCTAGAAAAGACATGGATAAATCAGTTTTTTTTTGGTGAAAATAAACATCAATACCCATTTTGATGTGAATATCTGAAGTGAAATAAAACCAACTACATATATTTTTTAAATGCTGAGGCTCATATGTGAAGGGTGAGCATAGTGGGCAAATTTGGAAAGATTCTCTACATTTAAAGATTATTTAAGGTACTGGTATTATACGCACAGGATAATACCAGCTTAATAGTCATAACAGATTCTGGAATGGACTGGGGAGAACTATGGGATAGTGCGGTGAGATGTATGTTATTAGTCTCAGATTATAGCATGTCAGAGAAAGAAAACATATGCCGAACTTAATGAACCCCATTAATGGTCTCAGCTCCTTCTCCTAATTCCTTTCGGTGCCTCACTGCTATTTAGACTGGGAGGCACGCATTGACAGCCACGGCAGGATCTTCTACGTGGATCACGTAAACAGAACCACAACGTGGCAGCGACCGACAGCTCCCCCAGCCCCGCAGGTGCTGCAGAGATCTAACTCCATACAGCAAATGGAGCAGCTGAACCGGCGGTGAGGATGAGCATTATGCTGTGACTGTTGTATTTTGTGGTTGGGCTAATTTTTACCTGGCACAAAGTAGAAGACATGGTTGTCTCTTTGATCTTTGGGTGTCCTGTCATTAAAGTGTAGCCGTTACCTCTTTTGATTCCCAGACTTCAATTGGACTTCTCTTGATTAAAAAATAATAATAATACCCACATATATACCTTGTTTGGAAACTAGAGAACAAATAAATAAATATGACCTCTTTTGTCAACCCAAGCCTTGATTTTTAGTAAAGCAGAACATATGTATTTGCTATTTAAAGCCAAACATCTTTTCTAGTCTCTAGAATCTTTATTTGTGGCTTCTCATTATTATCAACCTAGGCTTTTTAGATGAGTTATTCTTTTTCAAGAATTAACTGCTATGAAACATAAAGGTTTTTTTCCCTTTAACAATATAGGAATTTACTTTTCTTTGATTAAGGGCCACAGAATTTTTTTAGTGTTATTAATTTGCCAGGAAAATGTTCCCCAAACAATGGACAGAAGAAATTTAATGCAGTGTGATTTAAACAGCAGATGGCCAAGAAGTCCAGGGAATGGGGGTTGGAGGTGGAAATAGTTGAAGCTGAGAAGATAGTGAAAAATTCTAGACTCTTAGGGAGCAGTTGAGTCCCATCTTTTGAAGGCTGCTGGAATGTAACTCTAGGCTCATGATTTTAGATATCAGAGCATCCGCAGAACCATGACCAATGAGAGGCCTGAGGAAAATACCAATGCTATCGATGGGGCAGGGGAGGAAACTGACTTTCACCAAGCCAGTGCAGGTAAGAGCTTTGGGCTATGTTTTTGTAATTTCATAAAAGTCAAAAAAGAAACAAATAAGGATTCCCAACAGATGAAGCTTTTCTTTTGGAGAACTTTTTCTCTTCAGTAAGATCTGGTAATCCAACTCAAAAAACAGAATTCACCAGAAACCTCTTCTAATCCTCAACTTTTAGTTAATATTAAGAAAGAAATCACAAAACCCAAGTAGAATATAAATTACTTATTTCTTGATCTGTGGGATATTGGAAAAAGAATCAGATCATTTAAAACACGTAAAAATGCATTAAAATGTTAATAGTGACTAGAAGTATTACTTAACTGAATTTTAGTGTAATTAAGAACAGTCATGTTTTATGTATGAATTTACGGCAAAGAAAAAAGCATTGGGGGATTAAAATGATCGCACATGATGTAGGTATCCTATGGTTCTTTTAAAATACAGACTGAAGTGAGTAGATAGTTTTCACATCATAGGAAGATTTCCTTGACAGCCTCTGTGGTCTGCCCTGTCTAGATTTCCGACGGGAGAACATCCTGCCTCACTCTACCTCCAGATCCAGGCTCACGTTGCTGTTACAGTCTCCCCCCGTGAAGTTCCTCATCAGCCCAGAGTTCTTCACCGTGCTGCATTCTAACCCTGTAAGTAGCAAATCTGAAAGAGTGTGAAGGAAGACAACAGGCCAAAGAAAATGATCCTTGTGTTTGTAGTAATAGCAGGAATGATAATGGCGAATGTTTCCAGAGCACTTAGTGTGTTCCGAGCTCTGTGTTGAGCACTGAACACTTTAACCCGTTTAGTCCAAAGAAACCATTTGAGTTCACTGGGCTGCTGTAACAAAGCACTGTAAGCTGGGTGACCTATCAGCAACAGAAATTTATTTCTCATGGTTCTGGAGCTGTGAAGGCCAAGATTGAGGCACTAGCAGGTATGGTGTCTGATGACAGTCTATTTCCTTGTGTGTAGATAGCCATCTTCTCCCTCCATCTTCGTACGGTCTATGGGCTGAGGGCTCTCTCTCAGCCTTCTTTTATAAGGGTATTAATTCCTAATTACCTGTTAGGTCACCTCCTGCCCCCACCTCCTAATACTATTATATTGGTGATTAGGTTTCAACATACGAACTTTGGGGGACACAAACATCAGACCCATAACAGGAGGATTTAAAGGATTATTCCATGAGTCTCTGAGGGCTAAGGGAGTGGCTTGCTGAAGATAATAATTAAAGGAAGGTCATCTTAACTGCACATGAAGTGATTTAGAATGAGGAGAACATTGACCATAGAAGTCTAGCTGGATATAATCCATTTATCATGGCATGTGTTGTTAGGAGCCTAGACTAGGATGTAAGAAAATAAAGAAAAAGGATTCAGCATGAGAGGAATCGCAGGCAGGGAGTTAGCAAGATTTGGTGGATAAATAGGTAGAATAGAAACTGAAGAAGTTGACTTTGAGTATTAATAATAATAATAATACATAAATAATGAACAATACATAATTAATAATACTGGGAAAATTCGGATGAGGGACTTGTTAAAGGAATTGAAGGAGAACATATTGAATTTAACAAGACATATCATACACTTTCAGAAAAACAGAGTAGATCATAGAGAAAAATAAAAGTCAACATAATCCTATCACCAGGATTTGGTGGTGAGGTAATTAGTATATATTAATACATATTTATTTATGTTAATATTTTTCTGCCTTCTTCAGCTTTGCTTTACAAGTATAAACATCTGCCTGGCTTTCCTCATCACTGTCTCCTGGTTTACAGATTTAGCTTGGAGCAGAGAAGACTTGGGAGGAGAGTAAGCAATGAGTAACATGCTACCTATCCTCATATATTATGCGAGAGGGGTTAGATTTACTGAGCACTCAGCTTAGCAAGTTTGTTGATGATTATGTACTAGGCACTGAGCTAAGACCTAGGGATACAGAGATGACAGCAACTGTGGCCCTGGCATCCCAGACTTGAGAGTAATTATAATGTCATAACCAGAATTACAAGTGCACTAATGGATGGCTATAGAAGATACACTGCTGGAGTGGACGATTAACTCTAAAGGGAAGGCACATGGAAGGAGCCATAGACAGGTTTGCATCTGAGATGAGTTTTAAAGACTGATTAGGAGCTTGCCCCAGAAACAAGATGGGCAGGAGTACTCTAGGTAGAAGGAGCATCATTTGCAAAACGATTGATTCATGAAGCTGCAAGTCTGTCTTGATCATTACTGCAGAGGTTCTAAAACTGGATTATTAGTATTGTAAGCAATTCAGCGTTGCTGGTGTATTGAGAACACAGGACACTAGTGAAAGTCAGATTTGAGCCTGGGAAGGGATACAGAAGCCAGGTTACACAAACCTAAACTCATGTATGGGACAATTCTAGGAGGTGACAGACTTTCACGCAAGGCAGAATGGGCTAACATTTAAGCTGTCACTGTAACACAGAAAAAAAATCATGCTTTAATAGGAAGAGCCTCAGACTTGGAGTCAGATGGCACAAGCTCCCTTTGTTTTTTGTTCATTTGTTCATGCCTTCATTTAATCAGTATTTATTAAATGCCTGTGATTTGCTTGGTACATTCTAGACTCTGGGAATGAGCGGTAAATAAGACAGAGTAGAATATAGATAACAGACTAGTGAATGGAAAAGGTAATGCAGGTACAGCAGTGTGGTGTGAGGCAACTGAAACCACACACTGGGATAGAGTTACTTGGGGATGAGGTGGAGGAGGCACTATTTTATTTTTATTTTTTTTAATCTCAAAATCTCACAAGGAGGTACTATTTTAGATCAGGTGGACAGGAAGGCCTCTCCAGTGGAGCCACATTCAAGCTGTCATAAAATGCCCAGAAGCCGATTAGGTAAATGTCTGAGAATAGAACCTGCCTTGCCAAGGAAGTGCAGAAACTCAGGGGTAGGAATGAGTTTGCGGTGGTACGTAATACGGTCAGGGAAGCAAGCAGGGCTACAGAAGGCTGGGCTTGCATGATCTGGCAAGGCATTTGAGCTTTATTCTGAAAGAGTTTTCTATATGAGAATAATGTAGAGTTTTACAATTTCCTTCTAGCTGTCATGCAAAGAATGGGTTTTCAAGGGCAAGATTGGCATCAGGGAGACTAAGTGAAAAAGTCCCGTGGTAAGGCATGGAAGTGGCTTGGCCTAATGCAGTTAGCAGTAGAGACAGTGACAAAGTGGATGAATATTGGATATATTTTGAAGACAGAGATGACATTCTTGCTAATAGATTGGAATACGGGATAGGAGAAAAAAAGACTTCAAGAAGGAGCAACTGTAGCTAGACTAATAAAGAAGAAAAGAGGTAAGACTCAAATAAACACAATCAGAGATGATAAGGGACAGATTACCACTGACCCCACAGAAATACAAACAACCATATCAGAGAATACTATAAACACCTCTATGCACATAAACTAGAAAATCTAGAAGAAATAGATAAGTTCCTGGACATATACACCCTCCCAAGACTGAACCAGGATGAGATTGAATCTGTGAACAGACCAATAATGAGTTCTGAAATTAAGGCAGCTATAAATGGTCTATCAACCAAAAAAAGCCTGGGATTAGATGGATTCATAGCTGAATACTACTAGAGATACAAAAAAGACCTGGTACCATTTCTACTGAAATGACTCCAAAAAATTGAAAAGGAGGGACTCCTCCCTAACTCATTCTGCCAGCATCATCATCTTGATACCAAAACCTGGCAGAGATATAACAGAAAAAGAAAACTTCAGGCCAATATCCTTGGTGAGGATCGATGCAAAAATTCTCAATAAATTCCTGGAATCCAGCAGCACATCAAAAAAGTTATCCACCAAGATCAAATTGACTTCATCCCCAGGATGCAAGCTTAGTACATTTACAACATACGCAAATCAATATATGTGATTCATCATATAAACAGAACTAAAGACAGAAACCACATGATTATTTCAATAGATGCAGAAAAGGCCTTCGATAAAATTCAACATCACTTCATGTTAAAAACTCTCAATCAACTAGGTATTGAAGGAACATAACTCAAAGTAATAAGAGCCATATATGACAAACCAACAGCCAATATCATGTTGAATGGGCAAAAGCTGAAAGCATTCCCCTTGAAAGCCAGCACAAAGCAAGGATGGCCTCTGTCACCACTCTTATTCAACATAGTATTGGAAGTTCTGGCCACGGCAATCAGGCAAGAGAAAGAAATAAAGGGTATTCAACTAGGAAGAAAGGAAATCAAATTATCTTTGTGTGCAGATGACATGATTCTAAGTCTAGAAAACCCCATAGTCTCAGCCCAAAAGATCCTTAAGCTGATAAGCAACTTCAGTCTCAGAATACGAAACCAATGTGCAAAATTGCTAGCATTCCTATACACCAACAACAGGCAATCAGAGAGCCAAATCATGAATGAACTCCCATTCACAATTGCTACAAAAGGAATAAAATACCTAGGAATACAGCTAACAAGGGAAATGAAGGACTTCTTCAAGGAGAACTACAAACTACTGCTCAAAAAGAAGTCAGAGAAGACACAAACAAAAGTAAAAACATTCCATCCCCATGGATAGGAAGAATCAATATTGTGAAAATGGCTATAATACCCAAAATAATTTATAGATTCAATGCTGTTCCCATTAAACTACCATTGACATTCTTCACAGAATTAGAAAAAAACTATTTTAAAATTCATATGGAACCAAAAAAGAGCCTGAAGAGTCAAGACAATCCTAAACAACAAGAACAAAGCCGGAGGCATCACACTTCCTGACTTACACCTATACTAGTAACTTGTAACTATACTAGTAACTTACAACTATACTAGTAACCAGAACAGCATGGTACTGGTACAAAAACAGACACATAGACCAATGGAACAGAATAGAAAAGTCAGAAATAAGACTGCACACCTATAACCATTTGATCTTCAACAAACCTGACAAAAACAGGCAATGGGAAAGGATTGATTCCTTGTTTAATAAATGGTGCTGGGAGAACTGGCTAGCCATATGCAGAAAATTGAAACTGGACCCTTTCCTTACATTATATACAAAAATTAACTCAAGATGGATTAAAGACTTAAATGTAAAACTGAAAGCTATAAAAACCCTATGAAAAAATCTAGACAATACTATTCAGGACATAGGCACAGGCAAAGATTTCATGACAAAAGTGCCAAAAGCAATTGCAACAAAAGCAAAAATTGACAAGTGGGATCTAATTAAACTAAAGAGCTTCTGCACAGCAAAAGAAACTGTCATCAGAGTGAACAGACAACCTACAGAGTGGGAGAAAAATTTCATAGTCTGTCCATGTGACAGCGGTCTAATATTCAGAGTCTACAAAGAACTTAAACAAATTTACAAGAAAAAAACAACCCGATTAAAAAGTGGGCAGAGGATATGAATAGACATTTCTCAAAAGAAGACATACCTGTGGCCAAGAAACATGAAAAAAAGCTCAACATCACTGATCATTACAGAAATGCAAATCAAAACCACAATGAGATGTCATCTCATGCCAGTCAAAATGGCCATTATGAAAAAGTAAGAACACAACAGATGCTGGCGAAGTTACAGAGATAAAGAAATGCTTCTACACTGTCGGTGGGAGTGTAAATTT